GTTCTGCTTTCTTAAAAGAAACGTTCAATGGTCCGATTTTATTCGATGTGCACCCTCCATGTAAAAGTTCTGGTTACGGCCCGGAAACTAATATTGGGAATCGGTGCCACGTTCCCAATTTCGTTCTCTCTGGGAATTGGATGGGAATTCAAGGAAATTCCCAACAAGTTCTTAATTTGGAAATCCATTTTTTTCCCCTGTGATATCGAAAGCCGCAGTAAATATTTGCTAACCGGAAACTTTTGGGTAAAGTGCAAGTATACTAACAAACATTGTTGACTTTCATTTTCAGGCTAGCCACCGACAGTTCTACTTAATAATTGCATTTTTCGTGATTTCTTTATTACTGGCATTGCATCACTGGATGTAGATGTAAATGTTCAAATGGTTTGACAGATTTACTACGATGCCGATGTTTATACACACTGTTTTGTCTGAATCGAGACCAATAAACAAGTTCTAATCTAATAAGCCTGAAGCGAGATGACGTTTTACCCCCGTCTCTAGACCATAATCTTTTCACATTGCTTTTGTTCTTTAATTATGACTATTGTTCTTGTGTTCTCTAAGGAATCAAAAATTTTAATATGAAAGAATTTTAAAAACTATTATGGTATAAAGTCGGGGGTAAAACGTCATCTCGCTTCAGGCTTATTAGTGCGATTGAAAAGTACTCTTAAAAAAATAGAAAAGAAACCTAAGAGCCTTGGATTGGACTCCCTGTGGAAGAGATACAGTAACGTCATGTGACATCCACGAACTTACATTTCCGAGTTCTAAGAAACAACGAGGTTCGAAGGAGGAAAAGTACAGGCTGCATATTTGAGGCATTTCTGCTCGAGAACTTCGCAAAATGAAATCACTTTTATCTCCGATTTTGTCCCTGGTGGTTTGCAATGGTAGGTTTAAAGCTGTTTTACAGTTGAATTAAACGATTGAGCATGATATTTACCCTGGAGCTGAAGCAATGAAACTCTATTACGATTTACATGAGGTTATGTTGATTGTACTTTCTTTCTTAGCATTATCTCGTGATAAAAAACGTTATCTTGCCCCTCGGGCTTATTAGTCTGTAGTATTTTTTGAAATTTAGCTTAAATTTAAAGAAAAATTGAATGAAAAAGCACAGTTCATCTGGCTTCCTCATCTTATTTTTATTGAAGTAACTTACATTTCTAATTTAAGCTTAACCATGAATTTGCGCAAACGATTAATTTTTTAAGCTAACTATAGTTTAGTCTACTTTTCATAAGTCCAAAAAGAAGAAAAAAAGGAGAAAATATTTCGGTTGTCTTATTTGGAACATTAATTTCGGAAAATAATTGACATGAAAAACCATTCTCTTTCGCGCCCACTTTCTTTTAATAGTGAAAAATGATGTCATTCTATACGCGTGATTACATATTTTAGACTAGGCTACTCATAACCTGAGTATCAGGATCAAATTGCTTCAAACAAGGAACATTTGTACTTCTGTTTTAATATGTTGTGCTTTGTACACTAATGATGTTCAGTGTAATTGCAAAGCATTTCCGTATTAATTGGGATACCTGTGCAGTAGAGCATGCAGGCCTAACAAATACCATCATTATCACCTAAGCGTCAACACCCGGCACTAAACCATGTTCTCATTGGTTAAAGAAACATTGGAAGTCAGTCAACTGGAACACACATGTTTTGGTGTGCTTCTATCAACAGCACTCGGAATTCCCGCTGTAAACAATGTTCTCTGTCAACCAATTTGAAATGGCTCATTCTGAGTTTGTGTCGACAAGCAGGGGGAAACTTTTGCTGCTGCTGAGTCTCTCCCAAAGTGGGAGTCTCTTTCCTCTTAGGTGTTCTAATTTTCACCACACAATTCATTAACAGCCGACTATGACCTTCCGGGACTTGAACTTCTAAAGAATGAAAATCACTTTCCCACCAATACTTCAAACTTCTGTCATAGGTAAAACCTTTGATTCTAAAATGAGAAACATATTGTAACAAATCCAAATCAATGTCCCTTAGAAAGTCTTTTATAGCAATGAGCTCCTCCATGATTATCCAAGTGAGCTTGAATGATGTGAAACTGGTGACTTCAATACTTTGTTGGTGGGAAGGCCTGAGTTGAAACATGCACGTTCTAATAATGTTTTGGCAACCAATGAGAACATGTTTTAGTGTCGGGTGTTGACGCTTAGGCGATAACGACAGTGACAAATCTCTGGCATGTGATGAAATGATGAATGAAGTCAAGACTTCCAAAAGCCATTATAATTACCCTGCTGGACTTATTTTTGTTTTGATGGCATGGCGAGCTGGTCTAGATAAAAATGGAAAAATCTGAAAAAATAACTTGACCAGTATCCGTAAAGGGACCTCGTGCTGTGTTTTTTTTTTTCAAATGTGAGAATACATGCTGCAGACCTTTCTAACATGGATATGCTTTCCTTTTCCATTTCATACCACATGTCATTCCTTAGAGTATCATTTTTTGATACATGAGAAGGCACATGAATATGGATACAACTCAAACAAAGAATCTTATTCTAAAGAGAATGACACATGGTCTGAAATTGGGAAATGTCATGCCCAAACTAAACGTGTCTATTAGTTTTTAATTATTAAATATTAATTTATTATTAATAATTATTATTTTTTATTTTTTATACACAGTGCTGTTATTTGGAAGTACTGAATGTGCTTCGTCTTCTGATATACAACCAAGTCCAACTGTTGCCACAAACAATTCAACATCTTTAATGTCTATGCATGGGCCCAACACTACAATTGTCAACATTTCTTCAGCATTTGTCACACACACCCCCAATGCTTCAACAGTGCATGTTACAACCCCCATGCCCAATATGACTTCAGCGTATACCACATTACTGCCCAACAAGACTACTAATCACACTTCCATCATCAGTACTCACTCACTTAACTCTTCAGTCTTCAGTTCCATGTATGTGACATTGACTAGCATGATCATGTCATCATCTGCTGGTAACAGCAGCATTCATAATTCTACCATACACCCAACACCTTTACCTACCCATTCTATCAACATGTCAAGTACTGTTGCCCACAATGCATCATCACACATACTGCCAACAATGACTGCAAGTCCATCGATTTCAAGTACTGTTGCCCACAATGCATCATCACACATACTGCCAACAATGACTGCAAGTCCATCGCCAGTGACATCAGTTTTCACAACCTCAAGTGTGCCTCCAACAACACCTGCACCACTCCCCCTTCCAAAAGGAAAGTATTCTGTTACAAAAAATGGTACCAAGTGCCTTTTACTTTGGTTAAGCCTGAAGCTCACCATTACTTACAAGAACAACACTGGAAACGAGGTATATCTATCCATACACAAAAGCTAGATAAATGTTCTTTATAAATTTTAAAAAGCATTCTCAATGTTTTTRCATTGCAAGTAATTTGTAAACATTTGGTAAAAGGAGAAATCTACTTATTGAATTGAATAGAAACTAAACTTTGATTATTATTTTTAGTTGCAAACCAGTGTAGTGATGCCAAGTAATGGTACTGCTGATGGTATCTGTGAACAGGGTGTGTCATCAATTCGTATCAGCTGGCCTTATTACTCATTTGAGGCTTATTTCCTAACTGCTAAAGCTGCTAATGCACGCTGGGAGACCACCAATGTTACATTCACAGCTCAGACCATGAATAACTCAGACTTCAATAATGCAAATGGTAAATGCACAATTATTAGTAATAGTGCCAATGCCTTAATGTGGTTTTTCGATATTCTGTGGGCTCAGACATTTCAACAGCTTCAATGTTGAGAAATGGTGTTTTTTTTTACTGCTGCCAGTCAACAACATAAAGGGGATTGACTGATTATTTTTGATTGACAACAGTGAACCAAATTTCAGCATGCCACTTGTACTAACTACCAAGTTCACAGAATACCAAAAGCCACAGTTACTCCTTTAACTTTTTACCCAACCATATTTGTCCTTGTAAAACTTCATTCAATTTGGTCATAGGTCTCTTTTGCTATAAATAACAATATTTTTTATTGCTTTTTCAAAGGTAACACTCAATAGTCAATGGCTAACAAACCTGTAGCCCTCATTCCATGATTGTTTTGCAGGGCTTAAAATAACAGCAGATCATTGTCCATTGTGTGGCAGTTATCTTAAGCCTTGGTTTTGGAGTTCAAAACCTTTTTTTATTCCTATTCTGGACATCATGGTTTTAAGACTGCATATTACCCACATTCTACATTCATCAATGTTGCCGCAATATTTCTAGTCATTAAAGCTTATCATTTTTTACAGACACAATCATCCAACAATCTGTAACAAAAATGGCTCAGCTAGAGTGGCTTAGTGCAGATCTTGGAAGGTCTCTGAATTGCTCCACAGACAAGGAGTTGAAGACTGACAGCATTGCTGCCACTGTCGAGGGGTTGAGATTACAGCCCTTTGAAGTCCACAATGGTGACTTTGGTGAAGGTAAAATTATTTTTTCAAGTTTTTCAGTCAAAAGCAAATAAGAAAGAAAAAAAAGATAATACTTGGAGAAAACACTAAGAAAGAGAATATTAAATGTGTCAGTTCAAAGTACAAAAGCCTGTGCATATGCAAATACATTACAGTGCAGCTACTCCAACCAAGGCCACCTTGACAATTTTCAAATAAATTATCCAATAGTGTTTGAGTATTTAGACAATAGATTAGCGGCAAATTTTGGGTTRGAAAACTGAATGATAAACAAGAGCTTTTGATATATTTGTTCGCAAATTAGTGATTTGTGTCACCAAAAATATAGAATAGTAGTAATATATGACTTCAAATATGAGAGGAAAGCAAATTAGAAACCATATAAAACACAGTCTTYATGATTACARTTYGTTTCTTCCAGACAACTATATTATCAGGCTGACACTGTTAGATTTTATCACCTTGTTACTAGCGACAGCACATTTATATTCAACAATAAAGGTGCCGGCAATCTTCTAAACCGTATAAACTCATGGATATTTGTCCAATTTGAAGCAATTTCATTGTTCAGATTCTCACTTTTTATTGGCTTATTTGTAGAAAATTTGTTCGGGTGGCCTTGGTTGGGATAGTTTCACTGTTAAACGTGGTCATACTTTTAAAAGTTGCGCTGTAAAATCTATTGAAATTAATTTTTCTTTTTTTCTTAGCTGAAAGCTGTTTTCATACACCAACGTCTACACCAAAGCCTACAAACTCACCAGCTAAAAAAACCAAAAATAAAAACATAGTAGCCATTGCTGTCGGGTGCTCTCTTGCTGGCCTTGTACTGATTGTTTTGATTGGTTACTTCATTGGCAAGAGAAGGAGCCGAGCAGGCCCTGGCACTGGCTATCGCAAACTCTAATATCCTAAACACCTAAAGCAACCCTATGATTCCAAATCAGTGTCTGGTTTTTGTTAAGATAATCCTTTGTCATGGTTTTGTATTGATGTAAGTTACAGCCAGTTTTATGTTCTTGTAACCTAACTAATTTAAGATGTCTGGCTTTTTGGCTTTGGTTAATCAAATTTGCAATAGGCCAATTTGCATTCTGATCTTGAGCAAATACGCTTGGCCCGTCGTTAAGTTGATTGACCGAAGCCAAAACGGGAAACAAGAAATGGGCTGTAAGGCTATTTTAGTGGTAATATGTGACCAAGAGATATCAAGGTCAAAAATAATAGTGGTGACTTGGATATCAATCAAATGCAGTGATACAAATTTTGACAAGATTAGCCTGTTTTGAGAGGTTAAAGTACTGCATTTGAACTTGGTTCTTGTTCTCAAGATTGACGACTACACAACAAAATCATACTACAAAGTGTTTTTTTGATTGGTAAAGAACTTAGAATGATTTTTCTTTTGTGATTGTTCAGGGTTAAAAGAAAAATTTGCAAACAAATTTCATAAGAAGATAGTTTGATAGTTATGATGGTATATTTTATCATAGATTTTGTAAAATATATCATGGTATAGGTAGGACTTAAATATAAAGCACACAAAAAAATAGGTTGGGATAATGGCCAGATAAGGGTTAAAAGCTTTTAGAGGTACTTGCTGTTGTTGTTGTTGCTTCACAAAAATTTATTTACTGCGCTATTTGCCATCTCGTCACTTCCACACGTTTTTTATTTCTTTTTGTGTTTTTTTTTACCACTAACCAATTAGGTATTCGTGTTTTACTTTGATGTTTGACACCTAATTAGTTAGTAAAAAGCGCAATATTTAAAGTTTTTAAAGACAAAGTTTTTTTAACTGTGAAAAAGAAAAATAATGAACTTGTGGGAGTGTTCACGGTATGGCACACAGCACTTAGCTAAAAGGTTAAAAAAAAAAAGAGTAACAGACTTAGATTTAAGAGTTTAGATTTTATAGTTAGTTTTATAGAGAGATATAACTGTATGATTATTATCATGTTAAGCACGCATTAAAAGGATGTCACTTGATAATGATGAAATGCAAGAAAAATCCATGAATTAATAATAATAAACATATTTGTTAATTCATTGTTTTTGAATAAATAATTGCGTTACGGCACACGTAGGTAACGTGCAATTCTCTACATTACAAATTAATCCTAGATTATCCAGAAAACCAACACGTTCTACAAAGCTGCTTTTTACGTATTTTCGTGACTGACCTGAATTCATTTTCGATTTCCGTAAATCAAGAACATTACCGTAACTCGCAATTTCTTCAACTCTCAAAAACGATAAAAGGGCAAAAATTCGATTTTACTAATCAAGCACGACTTTTATCTTAATTTTCACATTTGTATGTTTTGGTTAGAAATTTTTTTTCGTCGTCAGTACATTTTTCGTGACAGTCCAGGATTAGCTTCATTGCGATTCGTTTTCGGTTTCCCCCACCAATATCTAAACAAAGGTGATTACGTATATAATGCCAGTCGCACGTGCTGTAGTGCACTTTTCTTGCGTCACTGACGCGCAATTTCGACAACGCCTTTGTTACCAAGGTTACTTTTATTCTATGTAGATTCTAATTGGTTGCTGGTGATGTTATGGCTATTTTAATCTTATTTTTCATTACTCGTTTACACGCGAAATTTCAAAGCGTCAGTAGGATTGATAAAGGAATCACGAGTGATCGAAACTTTACTCTAGTTAATGCAATCACAAGAATATAGAAACTGTGAAGAAATCATGAAGGACGAAGTCAGATCAGCAGTAAATTTCCTAAAAGAAAATTTAGCAACTAAATCGACACTGTCGTTCGAACAGATCGAACTTTTTAGAGACAATCTAGAGTATTTGATGATCGAACGATTTCAGAACCATTGGCATCCTGAAAAACCACTGAAAGGAAACGCTTTTCGTTGCCTAAATGTTGACTCGACGGCTATTGATCCGCTACTCGTCAAAGCCAGTACTGCGAGTGGAATATCACCTGTAACGTTTCAAGAAATTTTCTCTGAAGGTCTTGCTTTATGGATAGATCCAATGGATGTTTGTTGTCGAATTGGAAAACGTCCAGTTATAAGTACGATCTACGGGAATGGTTGGATGAAAACTTCCAAAGGAAAGGATCAACTTAACTACGTTAATATAAAGTCAAGTCCATACCAATGTTCCTTCAACAGAAAGCCTGCCAATCCTTACAATTACCAAAGAGAACTTATACCAAACTATCAAGAGTGGAATAATCATCAATATGCTTACCTAACTGCTCAAGTTTACTAGAACTTTACGTTTTCTATGCTCGAATGCTCGACCAATTTTGAATTAAGAATTTTTTGAAGATTAATTGTAACATATTAGGCTTTTTAGAACGACTTTTTGTATAAATGTATTTAAGTTAAACGCTGGAAATTTGTATATGGAAGTTTTAAAGAGAYTTTAAGATATTTATAAAAGGAAAGTTTATATATTAATTTCTTTGAGAAAGAAGACAAGGGAAATTTGAGAATATTATAAAAATTTGTACAGCTTTTAGGAAAATTTATTAATTTACATACTTGTAAAAAGGAACAACAAATGTCCTATACAAATGTGAATAATTTCTATTTTGAACAAATGAATAAAGCCTAATGTCATTACTAATGAGTTTTGGATATTAATTCGCTGCTGTGAAAGTGAAACACTCTTCATGTAAACAGGATTTAGAGGTCTGTGATGATCAAGGAAATCTTTTGACCCTGTTGAACCCTTTGTCCGGTGTTTTGGGAGATGTCAGTCGCTCACTATTTACTATTCCAGTTGTGGATTTTACGATGTGTTGGTTGGCAATAACAGCATTTCCTCAGCTTTTCTTGTTAGATCAACCAACATGGCAGCTGTTTCACTGTTATCTATATCTCGAGGCATTTTGAGTCATTTTGGTTACCATGGTTGCACCCCAAATAATGCTGGATATAGGAGCTGAATGAAGAGGGGGTACTTGGCTATACCTCAGTTTGTTACAGTTTGGGTTGCGTCATGTTTGCACCCCAAGAATACTGTAACATGGATATAGGAGTTGAATGAAGAAGGGGTACTTGGCTATATTTCTTATAGTTTGACATGTACCTTGGCATAAAGGGGTAAAGGCTATTTGAGTTGTATAATGATTGCACCTCAATAATACTGGAACTCATGGATATAAGAGCTGAAGGAAGAGGGGGTTCTTTGCTATACCTCTCAGCTTGATATGTACCTTGGCATAAAAGAAAGGCTATTTGGGTTAAATCCTTAAGTAGGCTAGCACATAGTCTTGGCTTAGTTTATTAACTGGTAACAAACACCTTATTTTGCCTGATGGAGGCACATTTTCGATTAATAAGGTTCCCTTCATATGGAAATTAGTTATATTTTTGAGCAAGAATGAGATAACTATTTCATATGAAATTATATTGCAGCAAACCCTTGGTTGGCAAGTACATTTTCAGGTACTTTATTGCAAGGCTTACTCATTTTATTGGTCTCAATAATTTCATCATTTATATGTACAAATATATTATTCATAAATTTTAAAACTAATTCATAATTTGTATAGACACTAACTACAGAAATGTTATCGTCTGGGTGAGTGTATAGTCTTGAGAAAGACTGTCGTTGGTGGTGACTGAGGTTTTGACAACCTGAGCGGAAGTCATCATCAGATTCCAGTGAGAAAATGAGACAGTTGATGGCATTTATATAAACAGTAATTAGTCATAGGAAATTAATTTACATAACAATACCGACTAATTACTATTTGAGGTATAAATACCATCAACACTGTCTCATTATTTTTCTCACTAGACTCTCAAGATGACTTCCGCTCAGGTTTTCGAAACATCAGTCACCAACAACAGTCTTTCTCAAGACTACACTCACTCAGACGATCACATTTCACACCAAATTTCAACACCTGGGTTCAAACCATTTACTCTTAGAAATATTATTATTAATGGGGTCCTGCATGTACTGCAAACCTATTGTATTCTTTGTTAGCTTTGTTCTATTGTATAAGTTGAGGTCTTTTGTTGAATTCTATTGAATTACATAAACTATGTAATAGTAATAATGATAATTGTTACTATAAAAGTTATTTAGAGAGGGTGAGGGTTTCCAACTTCGCCCTTAGCTAATAAACTTCCTCTATGTTTAATATCTCTGAGTGAGACTATACAGCCATTATTTTTACGTGGTAATCCAAGCCACGGCAAAGGCCTAACCATTTATTTACTAACTTTGTATGGTACACAAAGAAAGATTCTAATGTGTTAACTACTTGTCCAGAACTAATGGCCTTAAGCGATAGTAATTTAAGAGCAATATTAATAAAAGGGTACTGCCTGTTTGTTTGGAAAAATTATGAAGATTTTTGGGGAAGCAAAGCTGATTAGTCTGAAGACAAAACTTATTTGTAGCTGGATATGACATCAGCTTGATGGAATGAATGGCACAACTTCCAAAACCACAAATCCTTCAGCTTGGAAAGCTCTTTTCAGGTCTTCCTGTAATTCAAAAATGGGTGCAATGCCCAATGAATGACAAAGTGATGAATAAATAACGGTATTTAATTTTTATCCTCTAATGGAACATGTCTTTATTTCTCTTGCAATTGGTTGCCTGTGAGAGTTTACATGTACATTAATTTTTCTGAAAATTTTCCAGGAGTTTCTGTATTAGATATTTGAGTAAATTATTACCAAATTTGGAAACTTTAATATCTATTTTTTTAATCTATTAAGCTTGACTGTCGTACATCACAGCGAGGAGCAATCACAACAGAGCCGTGCTCTAGACTAAGTGAAACCCAAAGATCATTTCAAATTTAGAAGTTGATTTTTGAGGAGGGAGGAAAACCAAAGAACCTACGATCTAGGACAAAAGGGTAGAGAATAATGAAAGAACTTCGACCATCCCCCCAGAAGCAATGTTGGTCTAGCAAAGGAGTCATTCGCCTTTGTTACCGAGCAACATTGCTTGGGGGGGAGGGGGGATTTACATTATTCTTCATGACTAGAGCCAAAAAATGTTGATTTTTTATTATTAGTGATTTTTTCTACAGGTTTTGTCCAAGATTGTAGAAAAAAAACAAAGGAGAGAACCAACTCGGGTCTTAATTGTGAGAGACAGCACATTCATATACCAGCGCATGCCACACATGCCTCCCTGAATGTAGTCCTACTCTCTGGAAGTTTCTATAATTGTATATAAGGTGGACCTATTAGATGACATATCCTCTCCTCCCCCTTCAAAAAAAATCATGCATGTTAATGACTACAAATTGCATACAGAAACAAAGAACAGGAAAAAAACATTGTATATAATATCAGGGGGAAATGTGGTTAGGCTTCCAGCGGTATTTTCAGCTGCTTCTCCTACACCCCCTCCAAACCTTCAATCAACTTCCTCCTTATTTAATACTAACCAGATGACTTTGGTCGTGACAATATCCTATTATGGCTCCTCCACTTCCAGGAAATTTAGCTGATGATCCAAACTGATAGAAATTAGAGAAGAAGGGAAAACATCTTAATGCATGTGTAATTGAAATTAATGGCATCTGAGATAAATAATGAAACTTGCAAATGCATAATGGTTCTAGCTAATTTTTAAACCCTGAAACAGCCTCTGGGCTGAATTATCTCAGGACCTGGCTAACTCACAGATCGAACCTATGGTTTGAACTAAGTCAGGGCATGACTATCTCACAGATCAAATTTAAGGTTAGGTTTGTGGAGGGAGTAAAAATGGATTCAATAACAAAGCATGCAATGGAAAACAAGGAAGGGCTAGACCAAACTAACTTTACTGTCACCTGAGACCCACCCTGGAGAGCTGAAAGACATGTACTACTGCTGCATTACCCTTGATTCCCAAAATCTCTTTATATTTCTTGGTATTATCTGTATATTGAGTAAATACCTGGCGTGCAAGTTCTATCATTCTGAGGTTTGTTTGCCCAAGTGCTTCATCCCCATAAATGGATCTATGACGTTTAACAAATAGTAGGAAAAATAAACAAACAAATAATAAAACAGGAATTAATGGAGGAGGCCCCCCCTCTCCACAGGCATTCTAGGTATTAAATTCTCAAAGAGTGCAGCTATCATAAAATCATTTTATTTTCTATTTTACTAACCTTCTAAGATCAAAGTTCTGATTCATCAAGTCTGAAAACCTTAATGAAAAAATATAAATAAATAGTAAATTAAAGTGAATAAATTGCTATTTACAATAAATGGAAATAAGGAAATGCCCAACTATTGTTAATTTTCTGATCAATGTGTAATACCGCTTTAATACTATACCTCTCATAGTCTCTTTCAAGCAGAGCATTTCTTGATTACATGAAAGAAAGGTGTAAAATAATAGTCGACTAAATCATTATCAAAATAATTATGATACTGTTATCATTTTCAAGGACCTTTGGAAGGGATCATTCATTATTTATTGAAGAGGGGCCTGTGAGGGTGAAAAAAATGGGAACCCTTGAAATTTTAGTGACCCTGCAGGGGAGGGGGTGGGGGGAAGTCTTGAAAAAATTGATGAGTTACTCATAGGGGACCTTCAAGACAGGTGGAAATAAATGGGCAAACTTAGGGGGGTTGGAAAACCAATGCATTTTTCTATTTTAATAGTCTCGCACACCATCCTCCCCCTTCYCCTTTGATAAATAACAAATGCTCCCTAAGACTGAATTTTACATGTGGTACTCACTTCGCAAGGTCTGTGAGGTCAGCAAATTTCTGCATAGCTTCTACGATCACAGTGTCTCCTGAATAGTTTGAGGCAGGAAGTCAACAAACAAACAAAAGATGGAATGTGGCTAAATAAATTTTATGATGTAGGAAGGGAATAATGGATGGATGGGATGGACGGGATGGATGGGACAAATGGATGTAATAGACAAGATGAATGGCATTAGTAACATGGGATGGGTGGATGGATGGATGGAGGTAGGGAGGGATGGATGGGTGGATGGATGGAGGGAGGGAGGGAGGGAGGGAGGGAGGGAGGGATGGACGGATGGATAGAGGAATGGAGGGGCGGATGGATGAATCCCATGTATAGTGAGAGTAGTTAATGTTTTAATACTCATCCATACTGCTCATTCGTATGCATTACCATTACTCACCTTGATTCCATCTCATTCTCACATTACTGTGGATTTTCCCTTAAATATGAAATCAAATTTGTACATATTACGGGACTTCATTCTCCAATCAACACAAAATATTATTTCAACTGAGCCTTTCAAAACATTACGAATAAGTAAATTACCAGAATCACTTGGATCAGTGTGGTAAGCAAGCCAAAGAAAAGGAGCACAACTGCTATCAAGTTGTATATAGTCACCTGCAAAAAGAAAAAATAGATTTTAATTTTATGTTTTTGTTAAAGTACTGATAACTATAATGATGGCATTAAAAATGATGATGATAATGCTGCTGCTGTTAATGATGATGCAATAATAATGATGATGCATGCTGATGAGCATCATCCTGTATATAATGATGATGCATAATGTTGATGATCCTGTATAATACTGATGCATGATGATATTCATGATGATGTTGATGATGATGATAATGCTACTGCTGATAATGCAATAATGATGATGATGCATGCTGATGATAGATCATGATAATGTTGATAATGATGAATGATGATGATGTTGAATCGATTATGATCGTGTTAATGATGATAATAATTTGATCTAGAAGGGCCTAAATGAAAATTACTCTGTGCAATCCTAGTTACCCTAACAAATTGTATAGCTTTTTTCTAATGATGATGATGACAATGATGCATGATGCTGATGAAAATGATGATGATGACCTACCATGGCCCTGCCCATCCATCAGAGACTTACTGAAGTCCATGTAAACAAGACCTTCATATACCTGACATAAAACATTTATTCACAATCAAATAAGAGAAAATCCAAAAGGTTAAAACATTGAATTTATTGCTTACATATAACTTGCCGGTCCACATCTGTGAATCGGTACCTCTTAAAGAGTTACAGAATTAAAAGGACCATGTAAGGCATTATCGTAGAATAATCATAGATAATTGGTACGTAACTGTTAAGGTGGCTGCCTACTTTTGAACGTTTGAATTGAGCCCACGATGAGCGCGCGCTCAAAAACCGCTGAAAAATCTACAAGATTTTATTGAAGAACCATAC